TGGGGATTAGGAATTTCTAATTACTGCTTTGTAGAGCATGTAGAAAGATATTGTGGGGGGTAGAACTTATGAACTAGGAATATGCAACCATTAGTCCCACTGTGCATTTTCCCATGAGTTCTTCACTGCTGGAGAACAGGTGTGTAGACCTGGGAGCATCCCACTCTTTTCAGATCTGGGACTTTACCAGATTCATCTGTTCATAGAGGCAAGAAGGAAACAGGTAATCATGAATAACAAATGCACAGTATCTAGGGCACAAATAAAATTTGTCCTGCTTCTTGAAGTTGGAAATGTTGGGTCTCTGCTAAAGGAGACAGCATGTCCATACTTGAGCTAGGAAGAGCACATGGACAGGCAAATTATAATCAGAAGAATGCTGTGGATCAGTGCATCAGCAAAACCCAGTATTAGTTATAGTAAACTCACAGGAAAGTCTTGGCTCAGCAGTAAGTGGAAACACTCGCCAGATCACTAATTAAGTCAAGAAGATACATGAAAGATTTGACGCTCTAAAATACAGAATCAGGGGCTGGGGCTATTTCTCAGTCTGAAAAGCACTTGCTGTACAAGTGTAAGAACCTGAGTTCAAATCCTCAGGACCCATTTAAAAGCCAGACACAGTAGTATGTGTATATAACCCCAGTGCTGGGAAGATGACAGGTGACTCACCAGGACTGGTTGGCCAGCCAGTCCATCAAAAAACAGTGAGCTCTAGGTTCAGGGAGAGACCCTGCCTCGAAGAACAAAACAGAGAGCAAAGAGAAAGAGACCCAGCATCTGGCTCTGGCCTCTCCTGTGCACACACAGGCAAGCACACCAAACACACATTCCCACAAATGCATACACAACACATACCAAAAGAAAATAAATTAAAGAAATAAAAATATCAAACAAGTGTATTCAGCAAAAATTAAACTTTCTCCCCCAAATAAAGCAAATAACAGTAAGATTATTCCCGTGCTTTTCCCAACCCTACTTCTGAGGTCTGGGCACTACAGGTCAAAGTTCCTACACTACAGAGAAGGGGAGGTCCCAAGAGCTCCATCTATAGCTATGTTCTCGTGTGCGTGTGTGTGTGTGTGTGTGTGTGTGTGTGTGTATGTATGTGCATGTGTGCAAATGCATGCTTGCACCTATGTCCCTGTATATGTGTGTATGTAAGTGCATACATGTGGTGGTTAGACATCAGCCTTGGGTGTCAGCCTTGGAAACACCATCCTCTTTGGTTTTCTATGAACCTACTACCCTGAACAGGCCGGATCTTATCAGGCTCTCTCACTGACTTGGAGCTAACCAATCACTGGCCAGCATGCCTCAGGGGTCCTCCACTTCCACGCACTGAATGACAAGCACACACCTTCCTGCCCAGCTTTCTATACCAGCTCTGGTGATCAAAGAGCTTACACGGTAAGCACTCTACTGACTGAGCCATCTTACTAGCCCTATAACCATATTCTTTGAGGTGTTCTGATCATACTTCCTAAGGAAGGCAGGCCCCATCCCATGCCTGCTGAGATGCTTAGCAAGGGTGTCATTCAAATCCAAGTTTGCTTTTCTCATATGCCCCACCGAGGGGGCAATTTTTTCTTCGTGACATAAGGTAATTAGAAATAAATATGCATGCAAGCATGATTTACTATTTTTATAATAACTCATATTTTATCCTTCCTCCTTTGTAGCTAATGTAAATTGTCTTCTTGAATGGAATCCTCTGAGCCTTGGGGCTTGTATAATGAAATGATTCGTGGATATTTATCAAGCCCATCTTTTCTCACATTGTCACTTGAAAATTTGTCAGAAGTCTTGAATTACAATAATAGTTTTAGAGTTTCTTGGTAGTGTTGTCTGTTCTATCATGCTATTGAATTCTAACATATTAGAAATATTAGATATTAGGATATTATAAAACTTAAAAGGAAATTTTTAATTAAAGAAAAATAATTTATGAGATCGCTTTAATCTCAGACTGCCATTGTTTTCTCCCAATGGAAACTCAATAAATGGTCGCTTTTAAAGCTCTAACTGCATTTAAAAGTATTACAAGCTAAAGAGAACAAATTGGATCTTAGAAACAGGCAAAAACAAACCGAATAATCACTCTGAGTCATGAGCAATTGGAGGAAGAGATCACAATGAATAAAATTCCAAACCAGTATTAAAATCTGCTATTAGAATAATTAAACATGAAATTGAAATGAAATGGCAAAACCAAAACAAAATCAAAACCGTAACTCCAAGGCAAATTAAATATGGCCTTACATAGTCAATGATGTAGGCTATTAAACAAAGAAAGCACTAATGGCTGTAAGTTATTTTTCATACAGGCAGGCAATTGTATTTGCTTGCAGTACAAATTGTGTTGCATAATGATGTTGTTGTTATATTCATGAGTGGAAAAGAAAGATCATTTTTTCCACAGTGAAGATGCCAGAGACTCCCATCTTCGTTATGGATGTGCCTTGCCAGTCAGATGTTGGTACTGACAAACTAATAACTCTCTTCCTAAATTTAGTCCAGAAAAGACGTCAGCTTGAGTTTCTGGCACACTTATCACACAGTGTTGACTTACCAAGTCTATCCTTAATAATGCATTTGTTTTTCTTGAATCATTATTTAATAAATTACAGTTAAATCTTCTATGATTTTTTTACAGTGAGCTTCCAACAGTCATTGTCCTCTTCATGATATTGTTGAAATGTCATATGTTTATCTTGGATTCCTGAATAAATAAATATAAATAAGCTCTGACATTTGATTTTGTACTTTTATTTGTATTGTGTTTGTGACTGTTTTGGGAATGATTATTATTATTTTACTTGTTATAAACTAGTGGGATAAGTAGAGAGTTGAGTAAAATTAAAAGATTCTTTGGAGTCAAGTTAGAGCCTGATGGCATTGTATTGGTTAAACTAATGAATACTTCACGTTAATCTAGAGAGAAAAGTGAGGATGGAAATGTGAAGTTGCCCTGTGTAAACATCAATATAAGCTCGCTGAATTTCAAAGTGGCAGTTCAGTAAGAATTGTCAGTGTTGTATGCCATACTTATGTTGCAAGCTACAGAAATCTAACAAAAAACATA